GTGTCTTTCCCATTTCAGCTGAGTTTTGCTCTGAGCGTCCTGGGAGATCCGACGGTGATGCTTTGGGATGAGCCATCGGTGGGCATGGACCTGAAAGGGCAGCGCCGCATGTGGTGAGCAGCCCCGTTTTAGCATAGAGCAGATTTAACGGGAGGGATGCTGACATGACAAATTGCCACGTAGCATTGGCATCCGCACGTCATCTTCAAGCAAGATAACTGAAGTCTTTTAAATAGTCATCTGCTTTTTTTATAATTTTATCATTTCAGTTGGGTTTTTTTGGGGGGGAGACAAAACAGGAGAATTCCTTTGGCTATTCCTGGGAAATAACTGCTATCCTCTGTTCCCAGGAAAGTGATCCAGGCTGCCATGAAAGGCAAGGAGCGGGCGGCCATCCTCAGCACGCAGGACCTGGAGGAGGCAGCGGCGATGTGCGACCGGGTGGCCATCCTGGTGTAAACTGATTCAATTAGAAAAGTATATGCTTTAATATAGCTTCAAGGGATAACTCAAACTTTTGGTGAGTGCTTTTTTTTTTTTTTTTTCTTTCCTTTTTTCTTCTTAATAGGATAGAAAATGTTGGTTTGGTTTGTCCCAAGTGTGTAATGAACATAGTTTTGCGAGGAGGGTAGGTTGTTATAGCAGCACAATATAAAGAGCTGATGAATTTGAGGGCATATATCTACTGCTTATATGCAGTGATTGCTTTGTTTGCTGATTATGATGGTTTGAGCACTGTTTTCCCTTCCCTGCAGGTACATTGGTTCCATTGAGGGTCTGAAAAGTAAGTTTGGCACAAGTTACCACCTAGAAGTCAAAATGATGGACACAAGGCAAAGTGATGCTCTTCACGCTGAAATTCTGCAACTCTTCCCCCACGCGGCTCGGCAAGAAAGGTCACTACCCCGTGGGCTGTACACCCGGAGTGGAGTCATGCTGGGATGCTCAGTTGCTCCTACTGACCTTGCTCAATAATTTACCTGGGAGTACAATAACCCCACAAGCACCCCTGAACCTTGGTGCTTCATCATGAAATGATGAATTCATTTTTTTGTTATTTTTCAGGACCTCTTCTTTGCTCACTTACAAGATACCAATGGAAGATGCTCTACCTCTGTCCAAGTCTTTCTCCAAGCTAGAAGCAGGTAAAAGGAAACAATCGATTAAATATGAAGATTGCTTTCAAATTGTTCAGATGGATTTGTTTTTTAAAGATGCCTTCTCCATCCCTCTGCAGCTAAACGGAATTTCAGGCTTGAGGAGTACAGCTTGTCGTTGCACACTTTGCAACAGGTAGGTTGATGCAGAAGTTACAGATAAAAGAATAGCCTGTGGCCGGTGTGGGTACCGCCAGCCCTTGTCAATAACGGGGTCATTTCCTCTGCGGCGCGTTGCAGGTGTTTGTAGACCTCACCCGGGACCTGGAGGAGCACGACCTGGATGCAGCATCCAACGGGGCTGTGGAGCGGAGACCGCTTCACCCCTGAGCCCTTGGAGCCACGAAGGAAAATATTCAGCATTTTTCATCAGCGTTACTGATACGATTGGATGCAGCCCCAGGACTCGGTTATCTGTGTCACATCACATACAGCCACCTTGCAAGTTTTCTGCCTCACAAAGAAAAAAAAGAATTATTATTTTAATAAATAAAGCCTTTATCCTTTGACAAATTGATGCCTGCCATCCGTCCTGCTCTGGCTGACTCATGAAGGTTTGTTGTGCTGAGGAATAGGGATGAACTGCGAGTCCCACGGCAGAGAGGCGGGCGCTGCGGCTGTGCCTGGGGGGCTTGGGCATTGGGGGGGAATCGTCTGCAAACCCAGAGGAGGGTCTCAAACCCTCACTCCTCCATGGCAGGAGGAGAACAGAGCTTTGGCTTGCTCTGTCCTGAGAAGCATCCTTCTGGGTGCTGTGAGGAGGCCAATGAGGGTGGTGGTGTCTGATGAGGGGGGCAGGGCTGTCCTTGGACCCAAAAGCTGCTGTCAGTGTGTGTTCCATCTCATGCTGCCTTGGCCCGTCTCTGGTCCCCACCACAGGGGACACGGAGAGAGCAAAGGGCTCAGCAGTCCCTGGAAAAGTGTAATGAAAACTGGCAGCTCTTAGATCACCATCTTAAAAAGAAAAAAACCAAAAACAACAACAAAAAAAGAATTGTTATCTGGAGTCAAAATAAGATGGAAAGGTAAAGTAAAGCTGGAGCAGGACAGGAGGTTGAACAGGTCTTCTGGCCACAGCATGTGTGTCTGACTTGCTTTGATGCTCGGGAAGACAGGTGAGGGCTTGGGAGGGATGGGGGTTCTGGTGGGGAGATGGGGGCACTGGGGGGGGGAGATGGGGGCAAGCACCAGCACCCTAACCCTGTCTGAGCAGATCAGCATCTCTTCTTAGGCATCTCCCTTCCAGGGCTAGCTAGAAACAATAATAAATAAAAAATCATAAATAAAGTAGAAACTCCCTCCATGCAGACATCCGGGTGTTTCCCCTGCTGCCCCGTCCCCCAGCACCCCCAGTCTCTGGGAAAGGCTGGGCTGTGGACCCACTGGAAGACAGGGCCAGTGCCAGCCCAGGGGACAGACACAACAGCAAGACCCTCACCCACATCATGATATCCCCTGGTTCACATGGATGATGCTGGCGACACAGGTATGGGTGATGCAGGCACAGGTGATGCAGGTGTGGGCGATGCAGGTGGATTGCACACACAAGGATGCGTGTGTGGGTGATGCAGGTGGATTACACACACAAGGATGCATGTCTGGGTGATGCAGGCAGGGATGCAGGCAAGCAGGTACCAGCAGGCAGCTGCTGTAGCTCTGTGATGGGCTGACCCTGCCAGGCCAGAGCAGCCACCCAGCACAGCCAGATCTCCAAACATCAGTGCCTCTGACAAGTGGGTGTGCAGGGAGGTGTCTTTGCTTGAGATTCGCTGACTGGGACCTGACATATCCACTTGTCCACCTAAGGTGTTCAGTTTTTTTTTTTCCTTTGCAAGGAGGGACTGAAAGGGGAGGAGAGGGTTTGTGCACCTGGGAGATGTACTGGAGACAGGTCTTCACTTAATTCTGCCTCCTGACTTATTACATCTCTGGAGTCTGCCAGCTCTGAACCATCTGCACGTTATTTAAACCTTAGGGGTTGTTTTTCCCCCCACTGTTCAGAGCAAAGGGGAGCAGATCTGGCTTCTCCACCTTTGCAAGCCCAGCCTCTGTCCCAGCTGGTCGCTGCTCCCTCCCGCGGCCGGTCCCTCCGCCGGGGATGCTGCGGTGGGCGATGGAGGGCAGGCGAGCTCCTCAGCCTGGGGACAGAATCAAAGCCCTTCCCTTTAGAAGTACAGAGTGAGTCAAGAGAAGTTTATTTTAACGTTTACGATATGTTTTTTTAAGCAGAAGAGCTGTTGCTATCCTGGAGGCAGCACTTGGCTGCTCTGCCTCCGCCGGGGCTGGTGGCACTGTTTGGAGATGAGCAGGGTCACCGTTCACGCCTCCGCCTTCAGCAGCGTGCTGTGACATTGCTGCCGACTTCAGCCTTTCTTGCTGCGCTGAGAAACATAACAGAGTTTGCCAGAGAAAGGATTTTTTTGTGTGCGTGGTTTGTTGTTGGGCTCTTTTTTTTTTTTTCTCTTGGCCAAGAAAGAATTTCCTGAGTAACTTTTCAGAGAATCTGCTCCAGCGACTCAACAACAATACGCTCTGTTGGCTTTTTATAGCAAAAATAAATCTGAAGATCTGCCAAGGAGGAAGGGGGGGAGAAAGCCAGGGAAAAGCGAAGCGATGGTGTGAGGAATGCCTTTTGGCAAAAGTGCCTGAGGGGAAAAACGGGTGCGTGGACAAAGGAGCGCTGAGAGCCCAGGGACAGCTGGCAAGTGCAGCCCGGGGAGGCTCCAGTCTCCCCTTTCACAGGCACGCTGCAAGGGACAAGCTCTGGATTCCTTTCAAACCTTTCTGTTAAGGTAAGGCTTAAACATTCTTCTTAAAGCAAATAAAAATTGGTTTTTTTTAAATGTTATGAAACCATCCAGTAATCAATAGCACCATTAATAACACTGGGGGAGGATTTTTTTTAAATGTTATGAAAACATCCAGTAATTAATAGCACCATTAATAACACTGGGGGAGGATATGTGCAGGTGGGACCCTGCGCATCTTTCTAAGAGGCTGAGTTAAGCCTGTGATCAAGCTTAGTGACTATTTAACAGTGATAGCATCTGTTTCACCCTACTTTGATATGAAATAACACACCAGTGGAGCTCAGTTTACAGCAGAGGTGTACTTCCAGTGTTTCTCAGTGCTAGAAGCGTGGTAGGCTCAGCTCAGTATTTTAAGTAACCCATCATGCACGAGGAGCAGATTTGCTTCCCTACAGGCAAGACTGAATTTTAAAAGTCACCCATGCATGCTCGTGGCTATCTGTTTCTCGCTTGTTTTCCATTAGTATCCCCGACAGTGAGAGCTCGCCCAGCGCGCTTCCAAGAACCTGTTCTCTTGCAGCTCCGAGTTGCCTTCGATCAGCTCAGCTCGCACCGCAGACAGGAGTTGCTCAACACCTCTTGGTGTGAAGCCTGTGGCACATTGAGACTGCATGCAAAAAGGTGTTGGTGATTTTAATTAATCACATTGTTGTAATTTCTTGGATGTTAAAGCCACCCAAGACCATTAGGTCACGTAGTATGACGTTCAATTTTTTTATTTCATAAATAACTCCTCCCAGCCTTACCACGCTGCAGCTTGGGAGCATCACATTCTGGTTATAATCTGTGTCTTGCTGCTGAACTTGAGGACAATGAGGTCTCTTGGTCCCTCGCTGCTGGAAGCCGTGCTGCAGGGCTGCCTTGTGCTCAGCACAGGAGGTCTGAGTTGCTTCAGCTCGCCCTTTTGCAGTAAAATTGGGAAAGTATCGCTGTGCATGTGTGCCAGGGCTGTGCAAATACAAGCAGTTGCTGCTCTTCTAGCTTTTGTTTTATTTGAAAATAATATTAAAAAAAATTGTTTGTAGGTTCAAAGATGAAGACACTTCAGAGAAATAGGAGTGTATTCCAGCAAACTAAAATTCTCTTGTGGAAAAATGTACTTACCAAGTGGAGGATGAAGATGCAGAGCTTTCAGGTAAGGCAAAAAAAAAAAAAAAAAAAGTGAGTAGCTAACCGTTGAGAGTGGCCAACCCCTGCCTGCTGCTGTACGCTGATTTATTTTTGCAAAGTTAAAGTTCTTTTGAAAAGCCTGATTGGTCATGAACACTCTGAGACTTTACTTTTTTAACTGATAATATTTCCATTTTTTATTTGACACACGAGAGCACAGACGGGCTCTTTCAGCAGAGTAATTTACTGAAGTGATGGGCACAATGCACAGACTTGGTTAGTTAGTCGACATCTAAGAAACCGGTGTGACTGAGCGCCTCTTGGTTACGTTTCACTCCCACAGAGAAGATGCTCTTACCCCGTTATGTTATTAACTGCTCTTCTCCTGTCCCCTTGCCCAGGAGTGGGTGCTGTCTCTGCTCTTTCTGCTGCTGCTGTTCATACTGTTCATGTTCATGCTGAGCTTCCGCTACCCTGAAGTGCCTTACAGCCCCCTGGGGCAGCTGGACGACCCTGCCTACAACGCCATGGGGGTCACCGTCGCCTTCACACCCAGCACCACGACCACGAGGCACATAATGAACAGAGTGGCCCTGAAGTCTGTCATGATAGGTATGTTTGCCTTTTAAATATTTAACTTTGGCATTATTTAACCTAGTCATTATTTAAGCTATTATACGACATGTTTTAGTGGTTTTTCCAGTATCTTTGGTCAGTAGAGAAAATTCACCCCAAACCCTCCATTCTTACCAATATTTATTCTCTAGTGTTTAAACTACAGATGAGGTCAGTGTGTGCTTTGGAGCTGTAAAGTTCTGCCTTTGTAGAATAATACTGTTAAGACACACAGAAACTCATTGCAATATTTTTCTTACAAACTACAGGTATAAAACTAGAGGCACTGGACGATGAGAGAGCCCTGGAGGAAGCCTGGATTTCAAACAATGAAATTATAGGGGTTATATTTAAGGACAACTTCTCCTATCACCTCAGGTTTCCTAGGTGGCGTGTGGCTATTCCAAACGACAACTTTGGATACATAGGTAATACAAAATGAGTATTTATGGGTGGGTGATTGCCTGGCATGGACAGGCATCGCTCTGCTGGATTAATCCATACATCTTAAGTGATTTCATAAATTGCTGTTTGGTTTTTTGGGGTTTTTTTTTTTTGTCAGTGGGCCACTGTCCATTTGAAGAGTTTCCCATAGTCCATATGCATGCTTATCAGTAGCTTTTGTAGTGAAAATAATTTATGTTTCACCGCTCTTACCTGTGATGCTCTTTCATCCTTGCAGATAACTGTTACAATTTCTCATCCTACTGCTACAGCCCGAGGTATTGGTACAAAGGCTTCCTGTCCCTGCAGTCCAGCATCGATGCTGCTATTATAGAGGTAAATCGAGTTTATGAACTGATGGAAGCGTCCTTTTGTTTTACACTTGGTATAAGAAAAAAAAAAATCACTCTGTGACAAATTCTGTCAGAAAATTCTGCAGAAAACCAGATACCTTCCAATACGCAGCCACAGGAGTATTATTCACAGAGTCAGTGGGAAGCTGAAGCAGCCAGGAGTTCCTGCAGAAAATGGTGGCTTTCAGTTTAATTTTGAAGATTTGTTCTAATTTTTGTTTCTCTTCAAAATGGTGATTTCTCTTCAAGTCTGAGAACCAGGTGTAACGCCACTATTTGATTTAGAGTATTTCTCAGATTCTAATGCAGGAGACTGGGCTGGTCGGCATACGTGCTGGATGACTTGGTTTCAAAGTGGGCATGCCTGTCGTTCCTTGTCCTTCCTTTCCAAATTGTTCTTCAAAAGTATAACAGGGCAGGGATCATTCCACCTGGCCATGCACCTCCAGCTCTTCAGGCTGCTTTCATACCTGGGGAGAGAAAGAGGTCCTTGGGAGCTCTGGGTGAGCTGAAGGATTTCTCTCTCTCAGTAGACAAAGGATGAGTCAGATGAGTCCTTCCCATAGGGCTTTATGGCACTACTTGTTGAGTTTTCTGTAAGGCAGCATTAAAAAGAAAATCTAGGGCTGAAGAGTCAGAAAGTTCCTTATATAAATACATCTCACGGTAGAAAATAAACTAAATACTGAGATATTCACCTTGAATCCCTTTAGGTGGTGACAAATCATTCTGTTTGGGAAGAAATGAAATCAATCGCTGGTGTCCGTATGAAGTCCGGGCGCATCAACTCCTCGATTACACTGGAGTACAGTTATTTCATGATTGTTGTCGTGATGTGTTTCTCTCCATTCATGTATTTCTTATCGGTGAATGTTGTAAGAGAAAAGAAGAAGCTCAAAGTATTGATGAAGAGAATGGGGCTGCAGGATGTTGCCTTTTGGTGAGTTCTTTTTTAACTAAATTATCTGTTTGCCAAGAATCAGTGTACTCCTGGGTATTTGCACAATGAGTTGATAAGTTGAATGAGTTCATCAGTTTTCTCTGGCACTCTAAGGACAAACCAGAAGGGTTGAGCATGGCAGCAGCATAGTCTTTTTCCTTGGCCATTTCCTCCTAATGTGCGTGGTGCTATCTGCTCTTCGTAGAGTCTGAATGAGTTGACCCTGGGGAATATTTTAATTTAAAAGGGTTCTGCCATGCAGATGAAGTTGCAGAAGATGAAGCCATTCTTAATTAAACAAAGTGTAACGCCACCTCTCCATCTGCAGGCTGTCCTGGAGTCTGCTGTACGCTGGCTACGTGATGGTCCTCTCCTGCCTGCTGGCAGCTCTCGCGGTGCAGGCTCCTTTCTATCTCAGCAGCTTCCCTGCCGTCCTTCTGCTGTTCTTCCTCTATGGCCTAGCATGTGTAAGTCAGGTTTTAAATCCAAGTTTTCTCACCACATGATTTATCACTGTGTTGAAGAGTTTAAACGTTACTCACAGTGCTCAGGACTTTGTATCCTTTGCCTAGTGGAAATAGCTGAGTGGGTTCTCCAGCTCAGCAGCAGGGATGTGAATTACAGCCTGAAGGTCTGACAAGCAGTAGGTTGGCTACAAAAGACCTGGTTTGAAACTCAGATCAGCCCACCAAGAAGGATTTCAGTGTATTTTATTACATGGACCCAGTTCACCAGGTATCTGTTTGCCTGGCACAGGGAAGTGCTGCTGTTCAGGACGTTTCTCTCCTTCAGTGACTGAAGGAAACTTCTGTTCTTGCAGATCCACCTGATCCTCCTGCTCTGCTCCCTCCTAAGGACCGCCACGCTCGCCGGGTCCATGGGGTTCCTCATCACCTTGCTCTTCGGATGCCTGAGCCTCGCAGTGTTGATAGAAAAACTTCCAGAACCGTTGCAGTGGTTTCTCAGTCTCTTCTGTCCTTTTGCATTTAACGCTGGCATCGCAAAGGTATGGGGCATCATCGCTGCAGCTGGAGCTTGCTGTCCTGGGTGCTCTCACGGGGGGAGAGAGAACATTTTGTCACAGCCCCAGCAATCCCACCACCACACACAACAGCACCATTATCCTCCTGGGCTGGACCTCAGGCGGATGGGAGGTGACTCGGGGACATCAGCTCTTCGCCGCCCGGTCCTTCCCCTTTCACTGCAACGACGCTTCCTGGCAACAGAAACTGTTCAAAAGCAATTTGAGTGTTCTGCTGTGGCCATCTGACCCCCATCCCTGCTTTGGATAATTCTGTGCAGTTTCCTAGTTTTCCATCAGTCATATCCACATATCTCTGAGCAACAATTTCTAGCTCCAGTTATTTATCGTTTATATTATATTTTATGTTTTGATTTCCTGGCATATAAAAAAATCTGACTGAGAGAGGAGATTTCTGCACCAGGAGAAAAAGAAACTGAGTTTACTGCTGATGTACCATATGTTTAAGTCAATCACTATGTAAAATTATACTGTCTTTGCTGTGACTCTGTCACGACAAGGGTGCCAATGTCAAGTTTCTTACATTGATTTCTATAAAATTATCATTTTTTCTTCTGTTTCTGGATTGTTCTGGAAAATTATTAACTTAAATATAAGACATCCATGTGGAGTAAACATATTTCTCTTCCTCACTAGAAATGAAGGAAGAAAAATTGGTCAGTGCTGCAGATGATTTCTGGGTTAACAAAGTCGATTGCATCCATGGCTTGATGGCATGTGCATAGATTTCCAGCCTGAAAATTCTTCTTCTTTGTCCTTTATTTCAGGTTTTCCATTTAGAAAAATATGGAATGGGTTTCTCTTTTTCTAACCTTATGGAGGAATCATACTTTTTATTTTCAACTTACATTATGCTGGTCTTTGACTCAGTCTTGTACCTGCTGTTAGCTCTGTATTTCGACAAAGTTCTGCCAGGTAGGTATGATTTATGCTTATGATCATACTTTTTGTATACTTTTGACTTATACAGACCGTGTGTAATAGCTTCTCAAGGAAATGATGGGCTGCTCCATTCTCTGGGTCAACCAAAATAGGTTTTGGACTAAAATAATGTATTCTCCCCCTGAGTGAATGTTTTACGCCCAGCACACACTGGTAGTTTCCAAATCAAACACAACAAATTATTTACTGTTTCTTCTTTCTAATTATGCTGCTGTTGAACTATTTATGTGAAAATAATGTAATAACGTGTGGGACAGTCTAATTAATTCAATAATTAGTGAATTAAAATAAATAGCCTTGAAGGTACCCTTCATGTCCTGCTTACCCCAGCTCCCGTGCACACTGGTGAAAATTCCCTGACCTCTTCTGTTTAACACTAAAGTACCAATTTTGAGGCAGGCAGGTACTTATTAAACCTCCTAAATGTTTACTCTAGGATGATGTCTTGGTTGTGGCTTTAGTTAATGACAAGTCATCTTCTTTGCTTTCCTGTCAGGCAAATACGGGATCCCAGATCCCCCTTTTTTCTGCTTGAAGCCGTCGTACTGGATACGGAGCAGGAGAGGCTCCACCAGGGAGATGCCCAGGACTGCAGCGAGCCCCGAGGAGCTCCTTGGTGATGACGTAGAGCCCGTGCCCCATGAATTCCTGGGGAAGAAGGCCATCAGGTTAAGAGAGAAGGAATTGCTATTCATGCTCTTTGGGTTGGGTGGCTTGGGTTTAATGCTCCCACGGACCCCATCACTTCTGCCATCAGCTTTGTTTTGACTTATCCAGGCAGTTTTTGTGTTTATGAGGTTCTTGCAAACCACACTTTGTTTCTTAGAGAGAAAAAACTAGAGAGAAGATGCAGATGAGAGAAATAGATAATTCAGGCTGGTCACTAGTGGTGAAATTTGCACAAATTCAGATTTTTTTTAAAAAAAACTTGAGCTTGGTCTTGTCTTTGCAAGGCTTGGTACTCCAGTATTGCGTGCCAGGTAGCGACGTTCCTGCCTGTGTATGGAGCGTGCCAAACCCTCCTGAATCTCAGCATCACTTCCCAGTGCCTCTCACTTTTCATTTCTGTCATTGTAAATTAAGGGCCATAAGAAGGAAAAAGGGCACCGGGGAAATGCATTTACAAGGATCCTGTAATAATATCCTCCTTATCTTACTTTTAGAATCAACGGTGTTAAAAAAATGTATAAAAAGAATGACAAGAAGACAGAAGCTTTAAGAGGTATGAAAGCTGTGGTGTTGATTGCTGTTGAAGATAAGGAAAAACAGCTATGCAATTATTTCAGTCAGAGAAATGAAACACCACTTGCATTGCTTGAGAATTTATGTAAAACATTAATTGATGCAATTGATCTTTATTTTGTTCAATTTTTACTCATTTTCTGTTTTCAATAAGAGTAAAGAGAAAAAAGATATTTTTTTTTCTGTTGTTGTATTTCTGTCTTTTCTACTAAATACAGAGCAGCTTCTTATGCCTTTAGTTCAAGGCTCGCAAACTTTACTCCTATTTGCTTAATACACTTCTTACTAATTTTTACCACTTACTACTTATACTTCTTGACTTGTCTTGCCTTCAGCAATGAGTGGAGGCAAGTCAAACCTCATTTCTTCCCAAACTTAATGTTGTTTTCATTCTAGGTTTGTCTTTAACTATTTACGAGGGTCAGATCACTGCCTTACTTGGCCACAGTGGGGCTGGGAAGACAACGCTGTTAAATGTTCTCAGTGGACTGACTCTGCCTTCTGAAGGTAGGATGGAAAACGGTGAGATGGGACAGGATGAGTTCAAAAGCAGTAAAGACCAGTTTGTTCATCTATTCCTGTAAACAGGTTCTGCAACCGTATACAACTACAACCTCTCTGAGAGAGGAGATAGGGAAGAAATTAGAGACATGGTTGGTATTTGCCCACAATTCAACATACAGTTTGAAGCCTTAACGGTGAAAGAAAACTTGAAAACTTTTGCAGAAATCAAGGGCATCAAATCCAGAGAGGCAGAGCGAGAGGTAAGTGTGTGTTCCCCGAAACTCATCACCACGCAGAAACACGAGGCTGTAGGCAAACCCCATGTTTCACTGACAGCTCCTTTTGCGCTGTGAAGCTAAAAAGGTCCACCTGGGTCTTCTGAAAATTGAAGCTGGTGTCCAGCTTTGACCAGGTTCAAGATCTCCTGGTCTTGGTGCAACCACAGCAATTCCTCTGCTCAACCCAAGGAGACGAGGGGGTGTAGCAGCCCCTTCGGTGGGTCAGTGTGGGGAGGAGATAGACCTTGGTATGTGCTCTTAGAAACTGTGTCTTCAGTCCCAGACAGAGTTCCTTCCTGGCTAATAAAGGATGGAAGGACAACTGGTGCTGGGAATGGACATCCTTGTGCTGTTCTAGGTGCAAAACATTTTGGAACTGTTGGATATCAGCAACCTTCAAGACACTCGAGCTGAGAAACTGAGTGGTGGGCAGAAGCGGAGGTTATCCATTGGAATAGCCATGCTTGGGAACCCCCAGGTAAAGCAGCAGGCGCGGCTCTG